CAAAAACAACAGAGTGACACATTTGAGCCAGCACCGGTTTGGCTCAGTGGATAGAGCGTCGGTCTGCGGACTGAAAGGTCCCGGGTTCGATTCCGGTCAAGGGCATGTACCTTGGTTGCGGGCACATTCCCAGGAGGGGGTGTGCAAAAGGCAGCTGGTCGATGATTCTCTCTCATTGACGTTTCTAACTCTCTATCTCTCTCTCTTCATCTCTGTGAAAAATCAATAAAAATATATATTAAAAAAAAAAAAAAAAACAGAGTGACACATTTGAAATATACTTTTAAAAGCACTTATCTGTCTGATTAATCCTGTTCCACGTTGTTTTATTTGGAATATACACAGGATTTGTAATGCCACATAAACTTTCATCCTCCCTCAAACCAGCCCAAAACCCCGAGTGTACATCCCTGAAAAGGAAAAAAAGGCTAACTTTGTTTTCTAATAGAGCTGTGCCAAATAACTCTCCCAGGCAATCATGCTGACAACAAACAATAAAGAACCTGTCATAAAGTAACATGTTTTTTATGATATGCTGCCAGGAAACTGAGCTTAGCAGTGGGATAAATGGCACCATCCTAAAATATGTGCACAACGGAGAATAGGAAATATGGGATTTATTGCTTTAAAATAAAACTAACAATGTCTTACAGCAGTACATTGGGAAAAAAATATAAAATGCTCCAAAGCTACTAAATAACCATAGGATGAGAAGGTGTTTGAGTTGTAGACCGCGTGAGCAGCTGTATTGCAAGCCTTAGGAAAACCTCCTGAAATTGGTTTCTTTTACCAATTTAAAAATGGAAAAGAGACAAAAGAGACAATAGACAGGGGAAAGTCACAAACAAGTGCAATATAAATGAGCCTTTTAGCATTGATGCTCTGTCAAATGTTGTTTGCAATTGCCTTTTTTATTAAGCAGTTCCTAGGACTACCTCTTGACATCTGTAATTGCCTATAGAAGGGACATTAGCTTTTGTTTTACTCACTAAACAAAAGCAACCATTGATTCTGGAAAAAAAAAAAAGTATTCAACTAATGCAGTGTCAAAGATTAGAATGAATCCAATTTCATGAAAGAAAATTGAAAAATACACTGTTCATTGTTGTTTTCATGCTATTGGCACATTTCATTTTAATTTAAAATTTCTCACATAGTGATACTGAATATTTGCTGTCTGCAAATTGAGAAAAAGGTGCCCTATCAACGTACTTCTTCTACCTCCCAGAATAGATGGATACCAATATTCATCACTCTCTCAGTCTTCTAAGGGACATGGAGTCACTTAATCTCAGTAATTGTCAGCAACTTCAGTTTCAGCCAGTTGGTGATATCATAGGACATAAAATAAAAGAGGGCAAAGGGCCGAAACCAGTTTGGCTTGGTGACTAGAGCGTCGGCCTGCGGACTGAAAGGTCACAGGTTTGATTCCTGTCAAGGGTATATACCTTGGTTGCATGTGCAAGAGGTAGCTGATCAATGATTCTCTCTCATCGATGTTTCTAACTATCCCTCTCTCTTCCTCTCTGTAAAAAATAAATAATTTTTTTTTTAAGAGAGAGAGGGCAAAGGGACAACTTATGGGAACTTTGGGAACTTGTATGGGTATTTGACCATTCTTAATTTGGAAAAGTGAGGAGCAGTTTAGAAAACTAATAAAGTTTTAAAAGGAAAGACTTGGTAAACATGAGAATTCACAAATGAGAGTCCCTTTGCCTAGAATATTAAACCTTATCCTCACCTGGGTAACTCTTATTCATTCCCATCATCTCCTTTAGGAAACATCCTTGAATTCCACTCTCAGCCTCCCTGCCCTAATCTAAGTGAGTTTTTCCCATGTGCTTCCATTCACTGTCATGGTCCTTATTGTGTTATATTGTCACTAGAGGCTCGGTGCATGAAATTCGTGCATGTGAGGAGGGGGGTGTCCCTCAGCCCTGCCTGCACCCTCTCCAATCCAGGACCTCTCAGGGGATGTCCTACAGTCAGACATCCCTCTCACAATCTGGGACTGCTGGCTCCTAACCACTCACCTACCTGCCTGCCTGATCGCCCCTAACCTCTCTGCCTACCTGCCTAATTGCCCCAACTGCCCTCCCTTGCCTGCCTGGTCTCCCCCAACTGCCCTCCCCTGCTGGCTTGATCGCCCCTAACTGCTTCTGCCTTGGTCCCCACCACTGTGGCTTTGTCTGGAAGGATGTCCTGATACCGGTAGATATCTGGAAGACATCCAGTCTAATTATCATATTACCCTTTTATTAGTATAGATTGTTTACCATCTCAACCCCTCACCCTCTATAGACTGAAAAATATAAAAGCTGCAATTATCTTTGTATACCCAGTATTTAAGCACATGATGACATTCACATTTGTTAAGTAAATAAACAAGTAGGATTAATGTCTGAAGACATGTTCCTTCTTTTTATAAAAAAAATAAATAAGTAAATAAATAAATAAATAAATAATTTGTTTGTCTTGCAAAGTAAATTCAGGAAAATCTATGCAAATCACAAATGTCTTCCAAAATAAAAATGATGAGTTTTATAAGGAAGGATATATGGTTGCACATCTTTTTGATTTTTATCAGAGGAAAGTTAGTTGCCATAGCAGAAAATAATGTAGATTAGAAATTTTATGCCTAACCCTGTTTCTTGAAAGCTCAGAAACTACTTGAGATTACTTCTTCAACTGAGAAATGGAGATAATCCTACCTGAGCTTGTCAACTTATAAAAGTATTGCAAGGATCAAATAAGTTAATGGGAATGAAAGAATTTTGAAAACATTACATTGGTATATTAAGGGTAATAAAATGTTTTTTTAAAGCATAAATGGGCTATTCTTACATAGAGATTTCTTCTTTTTTTTATACAGAGTGTGAGTTGAGGAATGCATTTTGGTGACGAGTTTGAATTTGTCATTGTCACTAAGTCCTTGGATATAAGTAAAAATTTTTTGGCCTATATCCTTGATCTATTTTAGTTTTTGTCACTACCATTACCACCACTATGTCATCAAATATGAAATTTTTCATACCCTTATTATACTAAGTCTCTTGTGTTTCCTTGTGGGAGAGTCAGAAGTCAGTACAAAAGAAAAAATTGTTCAGGTCTGTTTCAAGTACTTTTAACATTGGCTACACTGTACTGACTGACAAACTCCTTGGTGAACCAGCAGCAAAATGTAACAGCAGCTCTCAGCAGCAAAATGTAACAGCAGCTCTCTGCTGCATTCCTGCTCTGGACAGAATAAAGTAGAAGATAACTGGTCCTAACTGGTCTCCATGGTGATGTGAGACCAGACTTGTCAGAAAACTTAGGATCAGCTTTAACATTATAGGCAATACTGTAATATAATGAAATAATATTGTGGCTTGACTGTTCTGGCAACCAGATAATTTAATAGCATTCTAGCACCAGGATTCAGAATTATAATTAGTTGTACTGTTTTCAAGGCTAATGAATCAAGAAATCACTTTTACAAGTACTTGATCAATATACAACACAGTGAGGGGGTAACATTAGGTCTTTTCCTCCTCATCCCTGACATCGCAGGAGTTCAGTGTTGTCTGAAAACCACTCCAGTGCCATTGCAAAGATTAGACTGCCTAGAATTCAAAATGGCACCACAGTGGTCCCATGGGCTTTCTGACCCAGCACAGTTGAGATGTGATAACTCAATTCATTGAAGAATTACTTTCTCAAGTGTCTACAAGCCAGAGCAGCAATGTGGCAGTTTCAAATTGTTTCCTGCCCATCACAGAATATAGAAATTTCACACTACCTTTCACATAAATCACAATTCTTCCCTTGGAAATAAGTTATTTGAACTATTCTATTACTGAGATGTCTGATAACCTTTCCCCCTTTGGAGAAGGGCAGAGAAACAATTCAAAATTGTTGTGTCACCGCTGCTACATTTCATAACATGAGTTAGGTAACTAGAATTTAACAGCTGAGAGAGAGAGAGAGAGAGAGAGAGAGAGAGAGAGAGAGAGAGATTGGCATCAATAATTTATTGATTCATAAATTCTTTAGTTTCCCCCAAAGAGCACTTGTCTATATATATATATATAATCTGTCATACTGCTATGACAATATATCTGTCATACTGCTATAAACAATTATTCAGTGAGAATCTAACAATTCAAAATGACAGAATTATATGGTACTTTTGTCACAATTATGTGTCATTATATTATTCCTTACCTTTATATCGATGGATCTCTATGATATAATTATAAACAGAGCTTTAAAATTCTTTCCTTTTATAATACTCCATGCAAGACCTACTTCTGAATAAATAATTATTTTTTCCTCTAAACAATTTTCATTCTTGCTTAGACACCATATGGCTTCCTAACCACATCTTCTACATTCTGCAGTTAGTCTCCCTCACCCACCCCCCCCCTCACACACACACACACACACACACACATTTTCTCAAGTGCATTTCATTCAAACCAACCACATTTCAGATCTTTGAATCTACTGATTCTCTTCTTCTTTTTCCTTTAATGCTCTTCTAAGCTAGAATGCACTTTCTCTTTTTTTTGCCAATTCAAATCTTTCCATTTCAAGGTTCATTGCTTTCAAGAAGCATGGAATTCTTGACTAACTGAATCCATCATTCATCTTAACCTTACTTTGAATCTTTGCATTAATTATTTATACACAATATGTACCACATGAGTATTGGTTTAAGTCCCCTCCAAAGGATTCTGGGTACTCCAGGTGGACATATAGCAACTTCCAAGTAGACTTTAAGCTCCTAAGACCAGGAGCCATCTACTTAAATTCCTCTGAATCCCCATTCTATCTGGTACATGCTATACTCAAAATAGTACTGAGGGCTTTTCTAAGAAGTGCTTGAGTGAATAAAAAAAGATGAATAACTGTTCATTGTTTAAGACATGTAGATGATTACTAAAGATCTCACAGGTATTCATTTTTAGCAATCTGGCTTTGATTTAATCTACCATAGTGTGTGATTTTATACTTACCGGCACAGAAACTTGAGGATTATCTACAAGTTTTCCCAGCACAGCAAAGCCATCGACATTGATTTGGCCTCTTGGCTTTATGGGCAAGGATTCAATCCTTTTGCAGTCAACAAAAAGAGTGGCACTGCTCCTTTCCACACCAATCATAACCTTATGCCACTGGGAGTCAAACAAGGAGGGCAAGTTTGAAAAGGCTGCAGACTGGAGACTTCCATCCAGCCCCTTGTATGAAAATGCAACAGATTTTGTTTGGCCATTAATCTTCACGCCAACTTGCTCCTTCCCTGAGGAGTCCTGAATCTGCCAAATGCTCCAGTGCTTTTCAAGTGTGCTTCCAGTCATCCGAAAAGTAGTTAAAAAGGAGTATTCTTCAGGCAGTCCACCGGGATATAAATGCCTGAACAAATTTTAAAACAGTAAACATAAATCTTGTTTTCTGTACCCATGCATATTACCATCTTCTCTTATGCTATTTTAGATTCTAGCTCTACAGAAAAGCTACAGTGTGAAAAACGATGCGCTATTTGTTCTTTCATGACTGTCCATAAAGGCCTTCACAGAAGTTCAATTATTCATGTACATTTATGCTCCATCCTAAAATACACATTAAAAAAAAAAGCCCTCCCTCAAGGCTAAAGAGAGTTCCAATGCCACACAGTCCCAACAATATTACTATTTATGTTGCCTAAAGAGCTACTGTTCAGCAATTTCATCTCAGCCAAGAGTTCTTACAAAGTTCTTGGCACCATTTCTCCAACGTATGAAAGAAGAGATCATTTGGAATCCAAATCAGCTCCGCTAGTTTATGAGACCACTTAATTAAAGCAGCTTTTATTTAATTTTTTTTTATTTTAACATAACATGTTAGGATTATTTGCTATTTCCATAACTGCTTGGGTCTTTCCCTCCATGATTATATCCTCCACCCATATAAGCATTCTGAGAATCAATAATTGTTCAGACTTGAGTAATTCTTTCACACTGAGCCTGTTTTCCATTTTTAGGGAGTTGGGAAATGTGATGTTAAATTAGCAGCTGTTGTTTGTCACTAGATGTGTGACAAGGGAAAAGTGACCAGTTCTTAATCCTCTGCTCCAACCTAGTTGTTCCTCCATCTGACAATCAAATCTGTATCATTGCTACTTTATTGCTTTAAATGGCAGCCTAAGACTATCAGTGGCCCTCAGGCATCCCCAGTCTGTGCGGGAACTGTGATCTGTGGCTGCAACAACTACCTTCTGTTGAACCAAACTTGCTAGTACCCAGGACCAAAATTTTAAGAAAATCAAGACATATTAAATGTAAACTTCACCTTCAAGGGCTTGAAGGGTTTTATCCTCCTACCTTCCTTCTCCTAAGTTTAGAAATATTCCTAAGTAAGGAAGAAATGCTAGGAAAAGTAGATGCTAATGAATTGTTCTAACTAAATAATAAAAGTTGACATTTCTGAGAACAGTTATAGACCAAGACCCAAAGTCCCACAGAATCTCTCTCCAGGTCAAACTCCTGGTATATAGCCCCCTTCTTATGAGGAGTAAAAAGAGAAAAGCAAAAATAAATACCTCGGTGGATGCTGACTTAATGTGCTGCAAACTAAAAATTCTTAACACATAAATTTATTGTACTGGCATGTGTTGTTGCCACTTACATCCAAACATATTGTTGGGGTCAGTAATTTCTAAAAAATTCCTCTGTTCTAAGCATGTTTAGCAATACGTAAAATTACTCAACTTGCTAATATTTTTCTGCTTTTGCTTTTACACTATAAAACTTTGTCATCCTTATAATAGCAATAAACAAATATATAACTTTTAATTGCAAACAGTTTTGCAAGCCTTCAATAATATGGGTCAATTATGTCAACAAATTTCATTGCTTTGTTAGTTTTATAAAAATGTGAAACTTTTCACCTGAATACTCTTTTATCATCCAAGGACTTCTTTTAGATATTATTTTCTAAAATGACTGCTTCTTATTTATAATATTGGGTGAATTTTTTTTGTCAGTACGCATTCTTAAATGATTATTAGTGATATATACTCTATGACTTCAATTTGGAGCCGGAAGATAACTTTTAAAAGTTTTATTCAGCCTTAGCCAGTTTGGCTCAGTGGATAAAGCATCAGCCCACGGACTGAAGGGTCCCAGGTTCAATTCTGCTCAAGGACACTTACTTCGTACCTCAGTTGCAGGCTCCATCCCAGCCCGGGCCCTGCAGAAGGCAATCAATTGATGTGTCTCTTCTATGTCTCTCCTCTACCCTTTCACTCTCTTTAAAAATCAATGGGAAAATATCCTCGGGTGAGGATTAACAAAATAATTTTTAAAAGACTTACCCAATGGTGAAATTTGACTAGTATCCATTTAAGTTACAAATAGGTTATTTAATATTATTTTCACTTAATAATCTGAATATAATTAGATGCTTAAAGAATTGGTTTTTCTTTTTTGTCCAAGACAGTTATTGTAAAGGTCTGAGGTTTTTATAGAAGATAAATTCTGATGCTTTGTTCTCTTCTCTTCCTTAAAGAACTCTTCATATAGGCTTTTTAAAACTCTGTTACCTATTTATGTGTTTACACATGTACTGAGCGAGGATGTAGATTTCATCAGTCCCAGAAGAAAAAAAAAAGCATTTGATTTGAATTTAGAAGTCATGATAACTTGCTTGAGCAACTCTTTTGCAAAGACATGAGGATAAGTGAGGGATCCCTCCCAATTTGTGCTTCACCCAATCTTTCCTTCTACGTGAGCAAAGAGATTATGTTGAAAATAGCATAAGGCATGATGTCCCCATTTACTTCTAACTTGGTCATGTAATATCAAAAACTTTTTAAAAATGGAGTCATGGTGAGGTTGCTAGAAGAACAATTCATTTATAGACATATTACTAAACAAATGATTTTTATCTATCTTTCTTTATGTCCAGGAAGATTATATACATATATAGACATATATAATTTGTGTGTGCTTATATATACAAACCTAATCAAAATTATAATGTTATTAATAGTTTAAACTAGGCTAAAATAGCATGTCAATATGATAAGAGAAAAAAATTCTTTCTGTCTCAAATTGATGAAATATATATGTATTTGTATAGACCTAAGACCATTTTAGAAGTCCTCACTAATTTATAGAACAGTCAGTCCCACTGTCTTTTTTTAAACACCTCAGATTCTGTTCTTGCAAATATGCTATGCACATGGATAAGTAAACTTGACAGCATACATAATTTAAGAGAAACTAGGCCTATACATCATTTATTTCATTATGTAACAATCTGCACAGAGTATCTTAAAAGGAGAACCGTAAGGATTTGAATAAAAGATAAGAAGTCTTAGACCTTGAAACATTTGTTTATGACCTTAACCCAAGGAAAAGGTATGGATTGTATTTGTTAAGGCATGCTTGTAAGTATGAGTTGAGAACGAAAAACTATGGTGCCCAAAATAAAGAATGCAAAAAGCAATATATTGTCTCATGATCTTTCAAAATAAAATTGAAAAGAAAAGTAAGAGTAATCTGTGTCTCTATCTCGTTCATCCCAAATGCCATAGTCATCTTCCCACGACTAAGTTTCTATTTTGCTCATTCAGAGTCTATATTTTCCATAGAAATTTTCTTTACATCAAGGCAGCCTAACCCCTCCACGATCTGAGAGCAATTCCAGCCTGTCAGAGCAATTGCCACCTGGTTTTTAATGATTAGGACTTGGAGGGCAGCATGAAAAGAAAGCCTTCACTAAGGAGAAAAGACTCCCACCTGCATACACTCTCTCATTCTAGTGCTCTCCACCACTTATGGCAACTACCACTCTGTACCAGGCTCTACTCAAGTCCTCTCCATTGATTTACATTTGCCCCCTCACTGGAGCTCTTATCAGTTATTATTACCCCTAATTTCAGTCTAAGGGCACTGAAGCTAAGTGTATTTAAGTAGCTTTCCCAAGAGTGGACTTTATTACCTATTTGGGACTACATTGATCTTAGGCCTTTGGCTCTCCTCCTTCTCTTTGGATTTCTTTCTCCTACTTCCTTCTTCATCCTTTCTCTCTTTTTTTTATGTCCTTTCTTTTTTTCAACTTAATAAGCCTTGCCAGTAAAGCAAGAGTTTTTAGTATTTGTGGGGATACAGAGAGTCACAGAGATAGAGAATATGGGACATTGACTATGACCTGTTATAAAGTATTTGGAGTAATTCTAGGCCCTTAAAGCAAAAAAGGTGCACAGGAGGTAGAGGATCTATGTGCCCTTCAGTCTCTGAATTCAAAGTCAGTGATACTCCAGACTGTACCTTAGATTGTAGAAGAGAAAATTAAGTCAGCAAACTGGAGTTTTTGTCATGTTTTGCTATTTTATTAAAGAAATTAAAATATGAACATTTAAAAAAATTATTTAGGAAGACAACTACCAGCGCTGTGCATGAAAAGAAAATATAAGAGAAAAATCTTAATTGCTGTTATTATGCCTTTAATTGTTCCAAATGTGATTGGTTTTTCCAGGGTCGGTATCGAATTGTGGCTAGAAACACAGCCTCCGGAGCCATTCTACCTGTGGTTTCAGTCTTCCCAGCACCTCCCAACCCTGTGATCTTATGCAAGTAACTTAAACTGTCTAACTTCAGTTTCCTCCTCCATAAAATATAGATAATAATGTCCCACCACAGAAGTGTGATGAAGATGAGGTTTAATGTTAATTGGGAATTTTATCAAAAGTATATATACAGCAAATTTTTCATTATCTTAAACATTTAGAGTTTCTATACTATTTTTTACTGTTCTAATTAATCATTATTTACTTTTACACCATAATTTCTATCAAAGCCTTAAATTGCTTTTCATCTACCAAAAGAACCTTAATTTTTTTTTCAGTGTATTAAGGTGCAATCATAATAGTCACATATAAGGTACTAGGTGACATCAAACTGAAAGCTCATTTATAACAATGGGATGACTCAACACTTACACATACACAAAAGCATCTCAGTAATTATTTGTTTGAAGGATAAAATGAGTTCCAGAGAAAGAGATAAATGAAGTGTGGGGGGTGTTATTATTATTATCAGTACCATTGTTCCAGTTATCATTGCTTTAGTTTTGATTTTTTAAAATTGATTTTCAGAGAGAGAGAGAGAGAGAAACATTGATTTGTTGTTCTACTTATTTATGCATTCATTGGTTCATTCTTGTATGTCCCCTGGCCAGGGATTGAACCCACAACATTGGTGTATCAGAATTATGCTCTAACCAACCAAGCTACTCCTCCAGGGCCTTAGTTTTACTTTGGTTCCTGCCAGGAGCCACGCACTGCATGTGTATTTCCATTTCAGCACCAGGACGTTTGAACAGCACCATTGTGAGTCCTCTTACCACCCAGTGGCTCCTAGTTAAATTTATGCTTAACCTCTGGCACTTCTCACAGAGACTTCTTTCAGTGAAAACCAGACAAATTATAGAAAAACACTGCATTGAGTAATAAGAACTTGTCCTGAATCAACGTATAATAAATGGTCTCAATGACCCACCTCCACCCCCAACCCTCACCCCTGGAATGGGAAATTACATACTGAAAACATGAAAGGCATACATATATTCAGGCACTGAAAATAGATAAGTAAATAATTCCTTCATATTTAAATAAAATCATAATTCAAGAAACATTGAGCAAGAAATTTCTCTAACATTGGCTAACTTTTTATTTTAAAAAATGCATTTGAGGGCCCTAGCTGGTTTGTCTTGGTGGATAGAGCATCGGTCTGCAGACTGAAAGGTCCTGGGTTCAATTCCAGCCAAGGGCACATGCCTGAGTTGCAGGCTCGATCCCCAGTAGGGGGCCTTTAGAAGGCAGTGATCAATGATTCTCTCTCATGGTTGATGTTTCTTTTTTTTTTTTTTAATATATTTTATTGATTTTTTTTTTTTTTTTTTTTTTTTTTTTTTTTTTTACAGAGAGGAAGGAAGAGAGATAGTTAGAAACATCGATGAGAGAGAAATATGGATCAGCTGCCTCTTGCACACCCCCTACTGGGGATGTGCCCACAACCAAGGTACATGTCCTTGACCAGAATCCAATTTGGGACCTTTCATTCTGCAGGCTGACACTCTATCCACTGAGCCAAACGGGTTTCGGCTGATGGTTGATGTTTCTATCTCTCTCATCCTCTCCCTTTCTCTCTGAAATCAATAAAAATGTATTTTTTTAAATTACATTGGAGTCAGATAATTAGACTAATTTTTTAAAATATTACCTGGTTGGAATCCTGAAGTCTACATTATTTCCCAATTTGTAAGCCACTTGTAATGCAGTTGATCCCACTATCCTTTGTATAGCTCTTCTAGATGCTGCTTTATCTACCTGGAACTGAGAAATCAAGTCAAACCCTATAAAAAGGGAACAAAAAAATGAAAAGTTCACATTGAGATTGGTTTTGTTCCTTTCCACAGCCTACCCAAATAAAATAATATTGTAGATAGGTTTACAGAAGGCATGCATTTTCCATATGATACATTGCTACTCACCTGGTAAATCATCTTGGCCAATTCTGACTTTTGGACAGAGCTCATTTTCACCATTAGGAACTGAATTGATAGGAAACCCTGCAAAAGAGATCACATGTCATCTTACCTCACCTCTTACTGGGATCATGTGGAATGTGTCAATAATAATAAGAGCTGAGCAATTATTTAAAACACTACATTATACCAAGCAGCTTGCTTGTAAGTGTATTTGGCTTTCACGCTATGACTATGATTATAACTCATTCATTTTAATTCATCCTGGAAGGGAAGCAAGGCACAAAGGTGCTTTAATAATTTGTGCTGGGAAAAGGTTCCTTTGAAGGAAATTGGGAATGTTCCTTTTGGAACTGGAGCTGCACAACGTTCTGAATGGCTCAGTGTCAGACAGAGAGGCCTGTTTGGAAAACTTTTGGTGGCTTGGGCTAGGAAATATTCCTTAAACACCACACATTTTAGAATTCCCAAGAGAATCCAGCGCCGGCCTTAAACCAGCTCAGTGAGAGTTCTGGACAGGGCAGTTCTGAGGAATCTTTGTCAAATAGAGGAGGCATTTGGTCTCTGGTTCACTAATCCTAAATAAAATATAAAGAGCACATTTAATTTCAGAAGCTCATTCTAAGAGATCAAATAAGGGTCCCAACTAGACTGTTGCTAGTATCCTAAAATGAGGAAGAGTAGTAAGAAGAACATGAAAAGGATTAAATGCAACATTTGATGGGGATTCCTAAAATGAAACTGGGTGCTCCTTACTCAGGTGGAAGGTTGTGGCGAAGGAGTGTTTTTCGCCACCTATTGTAACTATACAACTCTTGTGCCCTGCGGAGACTCACCTGGTGGTAGAAACGTCCTGCACTTCAGAAAAAGTATCTTACAGCTGCAAAGCTTTGGCCCAGACATCCCAGTACATCAAACATATCCCCCTGTGATCCCAGCTTAATGGCTTCTATACATCTATTCATCCATCCATCCATCCATTCAGCCAGCCAGCCACCTAGCCATCTGAACAAACTGGTTTTCCTGCCAACTTTGATCACAACCATGACTTCTGCTTTATACCCAGCATTTACCACAGAAAACCATAGAGCACCCATTCTTATAAGTCGACCAGAGCCAGAGCAGAATTGGAGAGAGGGTATGAGGGACCAAGGGTGCCTCATTCAGTCCTCACTGAGCCACCGCCCTGCCTGATCCCTCCCGTAACAAGTGATATTTCAAAATTTAGAAACCGTGGCCCTTACTTGGGCGACGCTTGACAGTAGTCGCAGATGCACAGGGTTCCAGGAAACTGCATACAAAGAAGAAAACTGAAATTTTCCTGAAAAGGAGAAAAGAAAATGACTCATAGAGAAGTCCCTCCAGCTGGGGACTACTTTAGTATTTATAAGCATGGTAAAAACCTAATTAATGTAGGTGATCAAATCGCAGTATAGTTTCTTGTTTTTTTTTTGTTTGTTTGTTTTGTTTTTTACTTTGGAGTCTTAGATTTTCAGCTCCTACTCCCAGTCATTGTTGTTTTTTCTACCTCACTGTCTTCCATTTCTACTTCCCTGTTATATATTTTCTTGTCAATGTTTTCTTTCATCTTAGTTTTTCTGCCTCTCCATTTTGGTGGCTGTCTTTCCCTCTTTCTCTCTCTTCTGTCTCCCGTTTGCTTTTTTTTTTTTTTTTTTTTTTTTTTTTGTCTCATCTGTCTCTCTCTATTTCTGTCTCTGTTCCTGTCTTTCTTCTTTCATCTCTTCCTTCACCTCCCCTCATCTTGTCACCCCTGCCCATCTCCCCACCACTCTTTCCAGTGTCAAGATCTTACCAGAAGGTCTTCATTTTCCCAATTGGTTTTCTGTTGTTACCAATTGTCCCAATGAAGCAGGGATTGTTGGGGAGTCAGTACTCCCCAAAGACACCTTCACTGTCACCCCAGGACTGTGCAGTTCTGGACCCAGCCTTGGTTCCTCCTGTCCCAGTCAGGGCTACAAGCAAAAGAGTGGACCAGAGCCATCTGGTGACACTTTAAACCAAAGGAGAAGGAAGGGGTGGGGAAAGGTGGGGGGTGTGGCCCCAAAGCCAACAAGGTTACACTGAAGGAGGGATTAGCAAGGGAAAATTTGCTGAAAAGAAAAAAAAAAAAAAACAAAACACTTTTCAGGATGTGGAGAAAGTCACTAGAAAAACCAGGCAAACTGCTATAGGAACACAGAGGAAGCTTTGAGAACTGCTAGAGGAACACAGTGAACCTTTCAGAGGACTGGGGTACGGAGAGCTCACAGGAAGAGATGTGGGAACTCTCAGGAGCCTTGGCGCCCATCCAACCTAGATCTGAATCCCCGTTTGTTCTGAAGTTTACTAGTTACATATCCTTGGGCAATTTAGCTAATCTGCTTGTCACACCCTGTTGCCTTCATTGAAAAACTGGTTGAAAGTAGTTCCTAAAACAATCGTTTTGAGAATTAAGCAAGATAGCAACTCAATCTAATGTTTGCCTCAGGAGATCATCATTCCTCATATTTGCATCATTCTAGCTAACACTTTACTGCATGCCCCTCTGTGGAAAATGCCAAAAGCATAATGACTTTTTAAATATATATATATATTTCACTGATCTTTCACAGAGATGAAGGGAGAGAAATAGAAACATTAATGATGAGAAAGAAACATCCATCAACTGCCTCCTGAACATCCCTACTGGGGATCTGCCCACATGCAAGGCACATGCCCTTGACCAGAATCGAACCTGGGACCCTTCAGTCCGCAGGCCGACGCTCTATCCACTGAACTACACCAGTCGGGGCAAAGCTTAATGACTTTAATTCTCTCCCTGTATGGTAAGACTAAAATGTTTCCTAATCTATGGATAAGAAAAGCAGGCACAGAAAATGAAGTAACTTGTCCAAAGTTTCACAGCTAATTACTCAATACATGTTAGCTCCCTCTTCTTCATACTTGATAAACCTAACATCCAGCCCCCTAGTTCTTATTTCTTCTTAAATTCGATATTTACCAGAGCCAAGCAGAATATCTTTGGAAATAAGCAGTAGTCTATAACAAAGTTGAGCCAGGTTACAGGGAGCACAGACCTGAAGAGAGAGATTTTGTCAGGACCATGTCACACATACACACTCTCTGTCCAGAACCAAGCTCAGAGAGAGAGAGAGAGAGAGAGAGAGAGAGAGAGAGAGAGAGAGAGGGCTCACCCACTCAGGATAGTCTGTTTCTGCTCCATCTTAGGGGATATGACAGTCCTGTCCTATAACAGGGACATTTAGGTTCAGAAGATCCAGTTATCTTAATAAATTGTGGTATTCTAGCATAAGGTAGTTTTGCTTCCTTGAACATTTTTTTATTTTTAAATTAATTGAAAAATAAATAGCATTGTTTCCTTTTTTTTATTTTTATATATTTTCTTTCCTCCTCTGCCTCCCTCAGCTCAATGGAGAGTCTGCCCTGATCAGCTGGGAACCAGGAAACCTTGAATATCTGTGCCACTTGTTCGGCATTCCTTTACTAGTCGAGTACTACCTGTTGGGGCCCTCCTGGCATAGGGACATCCAGTTCCTCACATCAGTTGGAGCTTTCCATGAGGCCATGTCATTCTCCTTCCATCTGTCAGAATTCCAGTTCCCTCGGGGCAGGTATTTTGGCCAAGTCACAAGTGGTCATAGCCTCGCTCATTCTTATAAGTCGACCAGGGCCTATTTAAATGGAGCGGTTTATTAATCCAAAGAACTGAACCTCTGATGGTAGGACTTCAGAGGAGGAATTGTACAACAGGGCCCTCCCTGACATCCCAAAATCACACAAGGTAAGCCAGCCCATAATCCACAGGGGGGAAAAGGGCATTTTCCAAAGGGACCCTCTCCACTGAAGTTCTTTATTCGCCGTGCACAACAGCTGAAATGCCTCATAAAATTCATAGAATAGTAGGACCAGTTCCTTAGCTTTAATATGACTATATTATTTTGCAAGTATTCTCTTGAAGTGAAGTTGCCAAAAACTAGTACCATTAATTAAAGATGCATGAGTACTATTTTGACTCACTTTATGGATAAAAAACAAACCAGCACTAAAAACTAGCTTCCTAAGAGTGCCTAGTTTTAAGCTTTCTTCTCTGTCTAGCTTGGTTTTGAAAATAAAAGGCCTAAAATGCCCGGTGGAACACAGCAGTTGTGTGAAGATGCTGCAAATCAGCCCCAGCTAGAGCCAAAAATTTACTATGGAAATCTCCAGCTGAGAAGCTGATTAACAATCAGGGAGTTGCTAAAACTAGGACTCCCACAGTTTTGCATTGGGTTAGTTTTACTGTAAAGAAATTTCACCACAATCAAAGCTCTATTTTTAATCTGCTTACTTTGGTTCTATCCTTGTAATTGTAGCCTAATCATACATAGCAAGCAAATGGAGCCCCATGATGATAGCCATTTCTCTCTGAAATCACTCACAAATGAATATGTTCTCGCCATGGACCATTAAAAAACCAGAATGTGTTATTTAACACAAACCACACACACACACACCCTCAAGCTTTTCAGCATATTACTTGTGCTTTCTCTAAAATAAGAGCATTTCCATTTTCCCCAAGGAAGAGAGAAATCAATTCCCTTCATGGCCCATGTGCATCTAGGAGCTGTTGCTTTATATTTGCTGCTTTGTGGTTCTTCTGTTTGTAGCATCTGATGCATGTCCTAAGACTCTTTGGTTTCTTCCAATAACCTCACATGCTGGCCCATCTGCCTTTCTCTGCACAGTGGGAAGCCTTTCTTTCTTTTATAACTTTTTTATTTTTATTGATTTCAGAGAGGAAGGGAGAGGGAGAGATAGAAATAGAAACATCAATGATGAGAGAGGATCATTGATCAGCTGCCTCCTGCACGCCCCTCACTGGGCCTCAAGCCCGAAACCCGGGCATGGTTCATAGGTCAACACTCAGCCCCTGAGCCACGCAGGCGAGGCAGCCGTCCTTTCTAACAGGGCTCTCCAAAGCTTCATCAGAACCACCTGAGTGTCTTGTTAAAAGCATAGCGCTGGCTCCGCCCAGCAGTTTCTGATTCCGGAGATTTTAAATGGGTCTGAGAATTTACATTTTCAACCAGCTCCCCGGTGCTGCTGGCGCTGCGGTCCAGTGAGAAATGATGCCGCTATGGCCACCTTTGCAACTGATACTGACTTGCAGACTGTGAGTGTTTCATAAGTATTTGCTGAATAGTTTTCATTTTATTTGTTTACATCAGTTAATAACATATAAATTTCAGGTGTAAACTTAAATATATGACCCTTGTATGCGCTATTATGTGCTCTCCACCCAAAGTCTAGTCCCCTTCCTTCACTACGTGGCCCCCTTTATCTTCTTCATCCTCCCCCCACCCTCCTCTTCTGATAACCTTCGTCCTCTGGTCTGTATCTCGGAGTTTGCTTGGGGTTTTTTGTTCATCTGTTGCTTTTTGTTTAATTTTTTAAATAATTACCCGTTGAACTCATAAGAACTGCTGGTAACTTTTGAGCTCATGAAAAAAACTTATTCTAATTTTCTTACTGGATGTGTATTAAGAAATTTACTTGGGAGCCGGTCCCCGTGAGGCTCAGTGGTTGAGCGTGGACCTATGAACCAAGAGGTCATGGTTCCATTCCCGGTTAGGGCACATGTTCGCATTGCGGACTGGATTCAGACTGGGGATGTACAGGAAAAAGCTAATTGATGTTTCCATCTCTCTCTTCCTCTCCCTTCCTCTTTCTCTAAAATAAATAAATAAAAAACATTTTAAAAAATAAATTTACTGCCGAATTAACTGCAGAAACCCAAGGATTCCCTTCCGCACTATTATATTATCATTTATCAACCAAAGAATATGTGTGCTCCTGAATTCTGTTACCCTTTATCAGTGAAAGAGAGAGAACCTTGATTCTGAAATGGTTCCTTCTCTTTTATGAAAGAGCCCTTAAATAAATGTTGCTTTATGTTGCAGCCCATGAAATTCTATATGCATTTCACTAGCTTTCACGCTCTGCGAAATGTTTTGTCTGCACTAGGTGGCAGTGTAATCCTGATATTTGAAACGTAAGCAAAGAAATCCAACTAGAATTTGATTTCCAGTCTGTAGGTAGATAACTTTGATGTTTATGTAAATATTCCACTCTTGGTTGTTCTCCATCAATATATATATGAGCCATGCTCTCTGCCCTCCCTCACCACCACCAATTTGGAGCCTGAAGGCATCTCCAAGGTTAATGTTGGGGGCTCTAGAGTCAGACAGCTTAGGTTCAAATCTCAGCACCAACACTTGCTAGCTGGGAGACCCTGGAGAGATAATAAACCTCACCGTGACTCAATTTCTCACCTGTAAATGTGGACAATAAAAGTACCCGTGTTATAGGTATAAGAATTAAACTAGAGCTTAAAATGATGCCTCAAACTCAATAAATTTTAGCTACAAATGTTCTTGTTATTATAACGCACTCCTCTTAATTCTCCCACTCAGCCCCACTCTGCTGCAGTAAATAATGGTGCATTTATTTCTTCTTAGTGAGAAAGAATGTAGCGGTGCTAGAAACTCAAAACTCTCAGAAAATATACAACTACTGAAAAAATTCACCTATAGATAACCAAAGTTAATCAATTCAAAGCCCCCTCCTCCCTTTAATACTCAGATCTTTGGTTATTTGCTTCACTTTTGATTTTTCCTCTTGCAAAACTGTGATTCATGAATCCTTTAAGTTTACCTCAGCATCAATGAGACCTTCTCTTTCATAACATGCTATGATTTTTCCAAGAATGTTTATCATCATCACCTCCTTTGTACCTCACAACAATCCAACGAGATAGTTGTGACCAT